TATGTGCCCGACTTTGCGAGAAATAAATAAATAAATTTTAGTAGAGATTGAAGAATGACGACTTATGGTAGGCTGTGCATTTGCAGAAATAAATCCACGCTTGAACCGTCAACTTTCTCTTCTGAAAGCATGTTTTTTGACCTACATGCTATAATTTTATACATGCTATACAATGGAATTATTTTGCTGACTTGCTAGGTTTCTTTCTTATCAAAAATAAAATAAATATACATAACTAGTTCTGAGATAAGCATTATAGTCACCCAAAATCACACAAAGTTATAAAGAATTAATAATTGAATCTTTACATTCATTCTTGAAAAGAATTCCCATTCCGCTTTATGCGATCAATGGTTGCCAGAACTTTTAAAGATGCCTGTCTCGTAGAAAAAAAACTTCATAACTCATAACTCATTTGTAAGTTTATTAAATTTTAGTAAATATATTCTAAGAACTAAAAGAAAGTTTGGCTTTCTCTAGGGGATAGAATGACCGATAATTAAGCTTTCCATTATTCTACTGAATGCAAAATATATCTGTTTAAAAAAAAAGACTTTCCATTCTTGACGAGACTTTAGTTCATATCCCACATCACCTTCTCATATACACTTTAAAGCGGATTAGAGGATTTCGAGTCAAGCATGCCAAACAGCAACGTCACCATTCAACAATACCAATTAAGTCTTTTTTTATTGAAAAAAATAATTAAATTTTTCTCTACAATCTACGAAAAGTGCTTTAAACAAATTAGTAAGTTGTAAAGTGATTAAAAGGGCATATTTAAGAATATGAGCCAACTTAGATCTCTTAAAGTGATGTCAGTATTGGTATTGTAAACTATGGCTCTTATTCCAAATCTGATGATAGCTTCCAAACTCAATCAATTGGTATATACGATTTTCGTACCCACTTTTATGTTCGCAACGTACCTGTAAAAGCCTAGTTAACTTGCTATCTCGGTAGGGTACATGCTTTACTCGAGTGTCGACAAGAGCCGATATCACGTTTCCGAGCGCCGACAAACTCAGATTGATTTTGGTTGCCTCTTTGAGACGATCTCCGGTGGCTCCTGTTTTCGCCTGCCTCTCCGAGCCAGCCAAGTCGACAAGGTTGAGCTTGCCGGCGCGCAAATGCTCTCTTTCAGAAGCGCTCGTAGGACCCTGCTCGTTGGTCACCATTTCCATGTAAATGGTGAAGATTGAGTGCGACCGACTACTGTCCATATTCATCAAAGTGGCGCCGGTTGATCGGTTTTTCCAGCCTATATCCATGATCGCCTATTGCAGAACAAGCAAGATGAATTAATTTTGTCTGAAAACATTACTTTGAGTCACTATTTGTATCATTCTAGGACTGACAAATGGCAAGAAAAATCTGTATCATTTTGAGGAATGTATTTTATGTCGCTGCATTCATTTAATTGAAGCATCAACGACAAAGTGCTTGAAGGTGAATTGAGAAAAGTTTTGAAATGATATGAGTCATGAAAGATTACATTTTAGATTCGAAAGTGTGGCTTAATTTCAGGATGAGAATGTCTAGATCAGGATACTTCCATTTTGAGTAAAAGTGTTGGGTGAAGAGATTCAAAGTTAGATTGCGCCAAAAGACCAGCTGCCGATTGACTTGACTGGAACATTCATGTTGACGCTGTTTCCGAAGCAATCTCCTTCGAATCTGGTGAAAATGTGATAAGCTTTCGTCTGTCATGTGACAAAAATTATCAGAGCAAC